CGATTGATCAAGTTACAACCACCGATACAGTTAATAAAACGACTACAGTGTAAAAATTGAAGTTAGTGCGTACACACAGAAAACACCAATTCCCCATCCTACGCGGTCTCGACAGCTTCTGACGTAGCATCGATCAAGCGTTGTACCCTATCCTTCCTATCGGCCTCCGCACAGTCTTCATTAGCTTCGTGATTGGAAGCACTCGATAACATACCATCTGCACCCCCACACAGTAGGAGCCACGATATTCTATCCCCCCTTACCTGCGTCAACCGGCTCCTCCACAACAACATTATCATCACCTGTGAGGCTACTTCGGAGTACCACCCGAGCCACCTTGGATTGTGCTATGAATTCAGCGCGATCATCACTAGTCATGCAAGCGGCCAGCGCATTCACAAAATGGCAATTTGCCAGGACAGACTCTTCCGGCTGCAAAAGGTCATCCCAGGTTGGTGAAGTCTCACCAACAGCGCGAAGACCCGACACTAGACGATACAGTACCTGACAGCACATACGTTCCTCAACTGAGCTTAGGAATTTCCGCACTACTAATTCACGAATTAGGGTAGAAATGTCCAGAAACCTATAACAATTTCCCAACATTTTCTCAGAATTTCCGCCAAAAAATGTAGTTGACCATGTGCATATTTTCCCACACCAGCAGCTAATCACAAACCCTCTTATCGTCTTACTACAACTACCTGTGGAGGCCCCTCCATTTTGGAAGGCCTCTTGCTCGGTTTCACTCGCCACAATACTAGTCTACACGGTAGCCTAGTTCGAGCAAATCCATGCAACCACGACGCTGATTGAATCACGATAGCCACACATTCCAGAACCTACCACCCCACATCAGCAAAGCCCCAGCACCCAAAACCGCACCTGCCGACTACTCCGCGGGCATCGGTCAAAGATCGTCAGCATAAACTCCCACGCGCCGTCCACCTCAGCATCATCGATCTCGTCGAGAATCTACCAAAACCAGCACGACCGAATATTCAACAAAAACTACACATTTTTAATCTCAAATTCAGCGAGTGAGAGAACAGTAGAGAAATGAAATTTAATTTTCGCGAAAGGAGTTTTACACAGAATTCAAATTCGGAATAAAAGGTATACTACCGCTGAGTCTCGCGCAGCGTCCAGGATCCCAACTCGTAAGCACTTCCATAACGACTGCCCTTCGTTTTCGAAAGTTCGCTCATCCCAGCTCTCAGCGGCTAATACCGTCGGTAAGCATTCTCTCAATCGTCGTGCTCTTTCTATCATAACAAACAGCTACAGATGGTGCCCACTGACGCTACTGTACACAATACACTCTAGTAGTAGTGAGAAGCAGTGGTGACAGGCCTATACAATGTCTGTGGTAGTCGTCACCACCAATGCACGAACCACTCTTCAGTGAGAGCATAACACCGTCCATAAATTGTCCAACATATTTCCTCATCGGCCGCCCTGGGAACTTGAACCCGCTGTCTCTCCCGAAGCCGGTTCCAGATGGGAGAAATCTACTCGACGCCACAACACGATTTTCCCCAGCGAGTCGGCGCTGGCCAGAAGTGAATCCTGAGAGCAACGGTATGTCTGTTGGATCGCAACGAAAAATCGTATTCCCTCTCTCACCTGTTGATTAGTCGCTACTGCCACCACAGGGACAGTGTGATGGTGCAGAATACTCATACGGTAGTTGCCAGTCTTTGCCAAGGAGTATATATAAACCCCTTTATCTTCGGAACCCGATATACAATACCCCATTTCACTAGGCGAATAGCAGCTCTTTATTGGCAGTAACGAGTGCGCCACCCGCAGACGGTGACGCACAGTTAGATTAGTGAGGACCCCAGGGGGCGGACCTA